AAGAAAAGAAATGTCTACAGTAAATGTATAGTTTTGTATATGAATAATTACGAAAATATGCAAAAAGCTCTATAAAATAAAGGGTTGCTGATGAGCATGTACTCTTCAGTATGAGTAATAAACACAATCAAACACACATCTTTATTATTATACATATGGGCATTCCCATGGTGGCGCACGTGACAGTCGTACGATTTCAATGTGATACAAAAAAGGAATACCATTTGTTTTCTTTAACTTTTTTGGGCCATTGTACAGCACATAATTAGCTCTATATTTAACCGAAAAATGAAATCAATCGAACTGCTTGGTCCTGAAATATAAGCATTTAAAGAGAATGCCGTTACGTGACAAAAAATGGAAGTTGATTTTTTGTTTTCTTACAAAATCGCAAAACACTGCGAATTGTGGATGGCTATTTTCATGAAACTTATTTTAATATGATTTGGAGCAATTCTAGTTGTTTTAGAGTTTTTTTAATTAATGCAAATTGTTTCAATTCTCTTTTACAATCCCAAGTGTGAAACGCGACGTGACGTGACGGTTCGTCACGTGACATAAATTTCCATTGTTCCATTTTTGTTAATATTGCTTTTAAATGAATTTTCAACGCAAATAAAACATGTATTTTATGTAGAATATACTTTATATTTTGACTTCAGCGCCAATTCAGGGTCAATTTATTAGAAATCTATGATTTATTATGTTTCAACCACATGCGCCAAATTCGAACCAAATCGGACCATAAATACGGTTTTTCGAAATATCTCGACCTTGGCACCACCTAGGAAGACCATTTTATGTATAGATGATTCTACTTACATAGCCAGTATATATTTTAAAAAGCAGACAAATCGGCCCGTAAATACGTTAGATATAAAACTTTTATTTTTTTTTGTCGTGGTGGACCTTCCGCTGGAAACACCCATATATCAATGTACATATTAAATATACTTCGTTGTCCTTGAATAGCTACATTTTACAAGCCAAGCTTGGATATAAACCTCGTTTTTTGAAGAAGAAAAAATACGTATTCAAGTGAGGTGGAGTGGATATATGTATTCAGCAGCTATTTTATATACTAAATAGTTTTGCTTATGAACTGTGTGTATGAATATAGCCTAAATATTAAATTAGCCAAGCTAAATTTATCTCAGTTTTCCACAAATAAAACCTTGCCACCTGTAGCTGAAGAATTGTTCTGCTGAAAAGTTAATTGAATTACAAATTTGCATATTACAATTGCTTTGTTAAAGCACTTCAAAAAACGAGCGGCAAGAGTTTGCACAATTTTGCTGAATTTTGATTTAAGTTTCTTTAGCTTCCGCTTGGCGCTTAAAGCAATTCATTTTTATTCGACTGTGTATTAACACAAATTTTTCTGATAAACTAATTTAATCGTGTTATGTTATTAATTTATATTTTAATTAAACCCAGACAAACACCTCACTTGTACATACTTATGTACTTACAAAAGTATATATCTACAACACATAAAATTATTATGCACTACTTATGCGCGTTATAAGTGTATACATATGTGCACATACAAAAATTGGCAACAAGAAACTCTTATGCAATAATTAAAATAATTAAGTGAATGAAATGTGTATACTAGCAAACCTAAATCCATACATACATACATACATATGTATGTAAATACGTACCCTGACGGAAAATGAAGTGAGTTTCAAAACTCAGCATGTGTAAAGTGTAATATTGTAGTCAACTAATTTTTAGTTAATTTAAAAGAAATGCAGCGAGGGAAAGTTTTGATTCCATATTCTATTTTGTTTGTTTTGTTCGTTAATTTCGTTTCATTTAAGCTGTTGAATTGAAATTACACGAAAAATAATTGAAAACAGGATAATTGACTGCTTCTTATGACATCGCCAAGTTAAATAAATCTGTTTGTTGCAAGAAATTGTAATTAGTTGTTATTGAAACTGACAACTAATCTCATTTCCTGTAGGGTATGTACGTATGTATATAAGTATATGTGAATTACTTTAATATTTAGAGAGTGCTGCATAAGAGAAAGTCAGGTTAAACGTGGAAGAGTTTAATTTTCAATACACATACTTATGTACATATGCATATGTGATTATTTGTTGTTAAGAAAGCCCACGGACATATACATAAAAACATAGACCTGTGCATACTTGCACATACATATAGTCTTCTAAACTTAGTTACCTTGTATTATATATAATTTAATACTTATGATGAGTATATACTCACATATATACGTACATATATGAAAGCCTGTAAAAAGCGAAGAAGTTCTTTAAAAAAAGTTTGTAAAAAACAAAAAATGCTAAGATATAAATAAATAAGTAAATACATAATTTATTATTCAAATCAAAAAGCAAGTCATCATTATTTTCTGGACGCATAAAATTTGGCAAGTAACATGATACTGTGGAGTAATTTAACTCTCAGTTGTCAACTATCCTATCACTAACTTAACCCGCTGCTAGTAATTCAAGTCTTCTGTTAGTAAATATGTATTACCAAGGCTACCACAGAATTCATCGTAGCTTCGATTTTCGTGAAATCTACGAAAGTGCTATCACAAAATCCGAATGGCAACGAACGGAAAACAAAATTCGTAGGGAGCCTTCATTGAATCCGTTCGTGACGAAGATTCGTACAGATACTCTACGACGGGTTTACGCTGTCGGAGCAAAATTTAAACCAACTGAATTTTAAAAATAATTGAAAAAAGCGGCATTATTGTTAATAATCAATATTGATATAATTCTCAACTAGTGCTTTGCCCACTCGGCCATTGCGACTTCTGGGGCAGCGTAAGCAAAGAGGCATACGTAAATGTCTATTGTTTCTTTTGCACTAGCTAATTTCGAATAAGCATTCGAAGCTGGCAACCATGATACAAATATTTAATGGTAGTTTCACTTCTTATTCGCCATTGCTCCCATTTGACGTAAACAGTGATTTTGCCATTTTCTTTTAAATTGAAGCTACCATATTATTTGAAGAATTTAAAAAGTGGTGTTTTACTTCAAAACTAAGATATTTCAAAAATGATTTAAAAAATTGTTTGTAAAAATATATTTTGAGCATCATTTCATAGCGAGCTTTACGTGATTTATTCTCAAAATTAAATATAAAACAGAAGGCAAGTAAAATACTCGTATTACATTGGGTAATGCACATAGAGAATATGTTTGTTTATGCAATTATTTTCACCATTATTTAGTACGATTAGCTGCATATTTCTGGATCGTCAAGTACATGGTAACTTCACAAAGGTGGTGTCCTTTCCCCATTACTGTTTAACTATTACATTTCAAAGCTCCCTAAACCACCAGAGGGAGTCTCGATTGTCTCCTATGATGACGATTGTTCGATAATGGCGTCTGGGAATGGAATTGATGCTCGAAAATAAACGGTTATTTCGCCGAGCTTTCCCGCTTCTTCACTGCACGGAGCCTAACCCTCTCCCCTGCAAAATCTTCAGCAACACTCTTTACCACTTGGACAAGGAAGTCAGACAATAACTGGGAATTCATGTCGATGACGAACCAGTTCCGACCGTGAAAAACGCGAAGATCCTCGGAGTAACCTTCGACAGTCTGCTCTCCTTTTCGGCGCATACAATCAAAATTGTCAACAAAGTACAAAACCGCAATAAGGTCCTCAATTCGCTAGCCGGCAGCACCTGGGGCAAAGGCAAAGAAACGTTGCTGGCAACGTACAAGGCAATTGGCCGGATGGTTCTGAACTACACAGGTTCATGAAACAACCTCTGGACCCGACAGCTTATCGACAGGCCATGAACGGTATTCACAGAGAGGAATTCTCAAGTTATATAGACTCTCGACCTGTGAATGCCGTTCAGGGCATACTAACACCCGACGTGGACAAGACAGAGCTTCGTCTGCCTTCGTAGACTCGGACCACTATAGCCAAACTGCGCTCTGGTTACTGCAGCAGGTTGAACTCATACCTGAGCAGATTAAACGAAGATGTGCTAAATGAATGATGTGGAGAAATGTCCCATGACTCACAGCATCTCTTTGCATGCCCACTGAACCCCATCCTACTGACCACCCGTCCCTGAGGACATACCCCGTCGAGGCTGCACCCTTACTGGGGCTACCGCTAGTAGAGCTTGACGACAATGATTGAGGGACTACACTTACATACATAAGGCGTGATAACAAATAAGTTTATGCTTCCATGGGGCTTTCATTGACCGTAATCTACTTTTTAACCATAACTTTTGTCATATTTCCACTAAATTGGATCCAGTTCAAAGCAACATCCTAATATCTAAATTTCTTAAAGGACCATATATAATAATATTTTATGTAACATTGCAAGTAATGCCAAATTTTTTGCGGTAAGGTAATTTAAAGTAATTAATAACTAAATTTACCCTGCGTGTTAATATTTTTTAATCCTTTAAAAAATATTAAAATTTCCAAAACAATAACTTGCTAGGTTGGCAGTGATGCTTGAGCAATTAAACGTCATACGCACAGTTTATGTCAAAAAATTTCTAAGTGAAACTACCTTCTTTTTTTGTATCATATTGGAAACGATATTTTCGAGTTCAATCGGATTCAGTGATAGCAATTTTTTCGTATTCTTAGCAGGCATTCAAATAGATACATACATAGATTTCCTGGGATGGATTCCGTGATAGCCCCGAACATTTAGCTTTACTCCTCTTAGGATTCCTGGTGCCGTCTATCATTAATTCTGTCGGAGATTTCGACGTGGCCACGAAATTCGGGAGATTGCCATCATTAATTCCGAATGAAAAGCAATTTTGGCAGTTACAACGATGTAAATAAACATAGTGCAGCGAATTAAAATTCAGGGGCTCCGCTGGCTTGGCCATGTCGCTCGAGTGGACAGAAACGCTCCTGCTCTGAAAGTATTCAACGCGGGCCGCGATGCTTGTAACAGAGGGAGAGGAAGGCCTCCTCTGCGTTGGAATGACCAGGTAAGGACTTGGNGTCGCTCTGATCAACTTTCTATTCTTCATCTTCTGCTTTATCTTCGGCATTTATTACCTCATCCAGCGAAGCTATATCACTCTCTGGGAGCCGTAAAGCATTAATTAATGCACTGGTGTCCTTTTGATCTTTGATCCCATCCGCTTGATCCTTAACGATATTGCTTGTTTCTGAGTTGGTCACCTACAAATAGCAAAAGGAAAATATTTATAATTTAATTGGAGTATCCGTACGAACTGGAAAAGATCTCGGGAATCTCGAAATTATCGGATCTTTTATATACATATATGTATGTATATGTTTGTATAAATGTATGTATATATTGGATACATTAAAATTTTTGCAAGTATGGTTTAAGGTACTCTACTTTAAATTTCACTAACCGCTGCTTTTTGATCAAGTTGTTCTAGTTCATGAAATGCCTCAGCCAAGCCTGGATGAATCTCGCTTAGCGGCTGATTACCTTCGCGAATATACACCGGTATATGTCCAGGACGTGGTGGTAACTCTTGATAAGGAGCAGCATCTGGAAAGAATAAAAATTTCATTTTTAATTCCTTCATTTAGCCTACGCTTCGCTGCACTGAATCTTAAATCTTAGGAAATGCTGTGTTGTTAAAAATTTTATCAGTTGTTCCAGGACTCCTGGGGCAACCCGGACTAGTACAAATATTTTTATTTTTTAAAAGGAGGATGGATCTACCTAATGTGAAAAGAGAAGTCGACCACACCGGAACACCGAAATTTGTCGGAAATCAGAATTTTCCGAACAAAGACGAAAGACTTTCAATATCACTTAACAAATTCGGAACGGTTCCCCACCGAATTTTTCGGAAATCAGCCTTTTCTGAACAAAGTTGAAAGTCTTTCGTTCTGGCTAAACGAATTCGCAACTGTTTCGTAAAGAAGATGAGGTAAACAAATTTCGAATGCATTGAAATGGAAAACGCAAAAGAAAGTAAAGTGAAATTAAAATAAAGTGATATTAAAATAAAACCCCTAAAAGACAAGCAGAAAAATTCTTTAATTCTATTTTAAATTGAGAAATTTAAGATCGTACCGAAAACGTAAAAAAATATTAAGAAGCCATTAATCCTGGAAACCAAGTGATATTTTTTACGCAATTGGAGCCTCAACTTCCGTCATCTATGGACTCCATTGCTGGAACTACCGAACAGCTGGCATGTGAAATTATGTTGTTAATAAAAGAGATAGAGCGAAAGTTAAGAAGTCTCAAAATTCAAATTTAATTGGCTATAAAATCGTATATATGTATATATAAAATCTTTCCATCTTTATTTGTTTAGGTAATCAAAATTTGTTAGAAATGCTAGTTAATCAAAATAAGGAATAAATTTGGTCACTTATTCAGATTTTAATTTCATTGAAGTACTTAAAATTATGTAATTATTCAAAGGGTAGAACTCTCAAATATCTAATTAGAGATTCTTTCATGGACAGGCCTTAACACAAATAAAAAAAATTATACAGAATTAGTTTTTTTTTTTTAATTTTAAACTGTTAAAGTTTAATTTTTTTTTCATAAACAAAACAAAAAATCTGAATTGCTTCGTAAGATGTACAAGTACGTGATTAAGTGGAACACTTCTTCATAGAATTTGCATAGTGTGGCATTCGGTGTGCGTTTTTCAGTAAATCAGCGTAATTAATTCACGGTGGAGTTTTAAAAACGTCGCACAAATTTTCGTAAAAATGATAAAAGCCTTATAATGATTCTTCTTCTTCTTGTTTGGCGCCGTAACCGCCTAAGCGATTTTGGCCGAGTTCAGCAAAGCACGCCAGTCGTTTCTCTTCTGTGCCAACTGATGCTAAATGGAAATGCCAAGTCTTTCTCCACTTGGCCTTTCCACCGCAGTGAGGACCTCCCACTTCCTCTGCTACCACCAGCGGCTTCCGATTTGAATACTTTTAGTGCTGGAGCATCGGTGTCTATTCGAAGGACATGGCCAAGCCAGCGGATCCGCTGTATTTTGATTCGCTGCACTATATCCATGCCGTTGTAAAGCTCATACAGCTCAGCGTTCCATCGTCTGCGGTACTCGCCGTCGCCAACGCGTAAAGGCCCGTAAATCTTCCGCAAAATCTTTCTCTCGAAAACTCCAAGAGCCGCTTCATCATATGTTGTCATTGTCCATGCTTCTACGCCATATATCAGCACGGGCGCGATGAGTGACTTATAGAGTGTGGTTTTCGTGCATCGAGACAGGACTTTACTTCTGAATTGCCTACTAAGTCCAAGGTAGGACTTGTTGGTAAGAGTGATTCTGCATTGGATTTCCATGCAGACAATATTATCGGTGTTAATGCTGGTAACCAAGTAAACGAAATTCTCTACTTTCTCGGAATTATAACTGCCAACAGTGATGAGGTGCCAAAGCGCAAATGTACTGACTGTTTGTTTGATTACAGGAGGTATTTCGTCTTGTCCTGGTTTACCACCAGAACCATTCGCAGTGCTTTCTTATTCAACTTGGAAAAGGCAGACCAGACTTCGCGGTCGATATCATCGGCATACACCAGCAATTGCGCGCTCTTATAAAATGTTGTTCCAGAGCAGTTCAGTTGTAAAGCTCTTATTAACTTCTCCAACATCAGTGACCCTGTCTGAAAGACTGTTTGGTGGCGAGCGGCTCGGGGAGATCTTTCCCAATTCTGACGGAACTGGTGGTATTGCTCAACGTCATTTTACACAGCCGTATGAGTTTTGAGGGGATGCCAAATTGAGACATAGCGGCGTATAGGCAACTCCTTTTAGTGCTGTCAAAAGCGGCTTTTTCCAAGATTTGGCGTATTCTGAATACCTGCTCTATAGTGAATTTGCCAGGTCTAAAGCCACACTGATGAGGCCCAATCAGTTCGTTGACGGTGGGCTTCAGTATTTCACTCAATCTTCTATTTATATATACAAATGTGAATGTCTGTTTGTTTATTACTTTATTACTTTATAACTTTTGAACCACTACACGGAATCGCACGAAACTTTGCACACTTATTTGCTTTTCCCCAGGAAGGTTAAATGTGTGGGTTTGTTTGATGACGATGGTGTAAATTTTGCGAGGGGGCATGGCACCTCCCATAGGCCTGCAATTTTTTAATCAGCTGTAACTTCGGAACCATAAGTCACATGAACTTGAAATTTGGTGTGCAGACATATCTATGGTAGGTGCTTATAGTAAGGTATATATAAATGACTTTGTAGAAGGGGGCGTGGCATATCTCATAGTCGTAGAATTTTTAATCAGCCATAACTTTGGAACCACAAGTCACATGACTCCTTTAATTCCTTTTGATATGCTTTTAAAAGACCTCAGTTTCCAGTTTTTCCAGCTTTTGCAATGACAATAAACAATAATGCCTTAAAATAAAACCCGAAACTTTATCGAAAATAAAATGTATGATAATTGTATTGGAAAATGTATTTATATTAATAGATACTTTGAAGTATTAAAAAAATGCTGTGAAATCATACTAGAGTTATTATTCGTATAGTATTTCTTCTTCTAATAATAATAATAATAGATTGGCGCTTACACATATGTTAGTGTTTGGCCGAGCTTCTCCTCCGATTTGTGGCGTGCGCCTTGATGTTGTCACACAAAGCAGAGGGACCTACGCCCGACTCCGAACGGCGATTGTATTTTCATGAGAAGCAGAAAAACACTCGGAGGTTTGTCATTGCCTGCCGAGGGACGACCGCTGTTAAGAAAAAACCTTTTTTCTATATTTTTGCGATGTTGCTTTGACCAGGGTTTGAACCCAGGTGCTGCGGAGTGGAAGCGCGCACTGCTTACTACTGCTTACTTTTTTACTTCTACTACATAATTTATTGGAGATATTTTAACCAAAATAAAACACTTACAGTGCCAAAAAATTATTACTGTATTTCATGCCATAACACCCAAGCTATACAGCTGTCCTACCATATGCTGCTGTCACGGCTACAGTAAAATTAGAGCAGAGAGTATAACATCTTTACATAAAGTATTTTTCATATTTGTATAAAGACGAGGGGTTAAACACGCGGGTAAAAGCTAGTACACTGGATAAAACCTTGTACCCTATGCTTAGAAGGCTGACGCCGCGGTAGTTGGCGCGGCTGGTGGGGTCGCCTTACATGTGGATTGGAGAAAGCACACTTAAATTCCAGTCGTCGGGCATGCGTTCATCTGACCATATTCTGCATACGAGCTGATGCTTGCACCTCATCAGCTCCTCGCGGCCGTAGGCTGCCAGCTCCAGCAGCTTTGTTGTTTTTCAAGCGCGCTATTGCTATTCGTACCTCGTCATAGTCAGGCGTTGGAACATCGACTCCGTTATCATCGACTGCGGGCCCGGGTTCTTCTTATCCAGAACTTTTCGTGCTGCTAGCATTCAGTAGTGTGAAAAAGTGTTCCCTCCACAATTTAGGTACGTTCTGAATATCGGTGACTAGGTCGCCATTGTTGTTCTTACAGGAGTACGCCCTGGTCTTAAAACCTCACGTAAGTCGTCTAGCTCTCTGGTAAAATTTTCGGGAATTTTTCCTGTCGGCCAGCATTTAAAGTTCTTCGCACTCACGTATTTCGGCCTCTCTCTCCTTATTGCGGCAAATACGTCTCGCTTCCCTCTTCAGTTCCCTCTTCAGTTCCCTGTATCGGTCCCACATAGCACGCGTTGCGCCCTATCGCAACATGGCCCTGTAGGCGGCATACTTTTTCTCTGAAGCTTTCTGACACTCCTCATCATACCAGTTGGTCTTTTGTGCTAGTCGAAATTCAACTACTTCTTGGGCGGCGGTACTTAATGTGCGGGACATGTGGTTACAGGTGAGATTCAAGTAGCGAATGCATTGGCTGCCTGTTTTGATTGCAGCTTTTCGACATTAAGCTTTCCTTGCACTTTTGGGCGCACATTTTTGCTGCACAGACACTGCGTATCTTGGTTGCAACAAGAAAGTGGTCCGAGTCGATGTTTGGGCCTCCATCTATCACAACATTATCGATTTGGTTTCTCGTTTTTCGATCGGAGGCAGCCACGTAGCTTGTTGGATATTTTCATGCTTGAAACAAGTACTGCATACTACCATGTTTCGGGACCAGGCGAAGTCAATCAGCCTTAGTCCGTTGTCGGACGTTTCGTCATGCAGGCTGAATTTTCCGATAGGGGTTCCAAACAAGGCCGTATTTAGGGTGGGGATTTAGGTACCTACCGGTACCGAATTTACTTTTCAGATGGCTAAATCAAGGATGCGTTTAAGTATGCATATAAAGACCGCAACACCGTGATCTTGCATCTACCTCCGATTGACGTAGTTGCTCGAGAAGGCCGTTATTACAGCAGTAAGACTCAAAGAAACCAATTCACAAATATTAAGACGAAGGAAGATTCGACCACATCTGTTCATGAAGGAACACAATAGGTATATCAATGGCTTCATTTGAACGATATTCATGAGATAACACGACTAATTTAGCCATAATTAAAAACGCTCATCTGCGCTCTTGAGTTTCCGTATAAGGACTTTTA